CTATGGGAAGGCCCATATGACATAGTGGATCGCCTCTCAGACGTGACTTTCCGAATAAAATGTGGTCGGCGAGGTAAACCAAAGGTGGTGCATGATAACAGGTTTTGGAGTTATCATGGTCCAGGTCATTTCAGTTGGAACAAAGTGAACAATGGAACAAATGATGCTGCTGAACACGTGTCACTTAAAAAAGCCAATGTTGAAGAAGAAACTCTACCTGGTTTTGAGAAGGAAAACAGTGAAGCCGTTAATGAAGTTACTACTACTGATGTGACTGTTCCCGATAATAGAATTAAATAAATAAACGAATAATATACAAATCTAGAGGATGCTGCATGTGCAACATACCATCTACACCAATATTTCACGTGTGTAGTGTTCCTTAAGCTTTTTCTCAGCTGAAAAGTGTTCCGTAGAAAGTTTGGGAAACATTGTATTAACATATTTGTCACAGCAACTTTCTGATGCAATTCACTAATTGTAATGCATATATATATATATATTAGTTTCATGTAGTTTTGTATATTATGGAAGAACATTTTAAAATTCAAACAACTCTAACAGTTAGTAAACCATACTTACCTAAATTCTCCAAATTTTCTCTCATAACCTATTGCAACTAGGCCTTCTTTAGCACTTAGGTTATGCATTTTCTTCCATGCATCACAAGTCCATAATTTCTCTTCTCGTTTTCCCCATGCATTATAGATAATTAACTGTGGAGGAAGAGCTTCACACTGTTTACTTAGCTGGTCAATATTTGCAACTATAGCTTCTCCAAATTCTAATAAGTCCTTGTTAACTTTCTCAAACACCTATAAGTTGTTACAGACAAAAACAGAATAAACACATGTAAAAAAACCTTAACTACACGGAATGCACACTTTACTCCAGCAAAAATATTTCCGATTGATACTTACCTACTCTTACATGTATAGCTATTCTAGTTCAGTGCTGCCCTCTGTATGCACCACATGATCAACGTGGTTCACCGTGTCTTGCATGTAAGTCATCTTGTGACAACCCTCCACCAACAAGAGTGTGACACACCCTCCTGATGCATGTGATTCCCTCTATTCGATTCTACCAAACTATCACTTTGAAATTAGGCAGAAAAGGAAGCATCATATTTTAGTGGGAAGTGTGAAAGGAGATTATATACCAATCAAAAATATATTTTCAGTATAGAAAAATAACTTCCGATAAGGTACTTCACATCCTCTTACGTGTATAGCTAGAGAATCCCACATTGAATAAGCAGAGGGACTGGTGTGAGGAAGAGAAAGAAGTGTCTTTTGAAAGTGTCCAAAGACCACCTAGGAAGCGTGATAGATGAACACGCGTGGGAGACTGCACAACTTCTGCACTGGGTATACTTTGTGACCAGTGTGGAAATAGGTGTCACCTACTTGGGCAGAAAATAGGAGCACAACCTAAAGGGAGAGGAAAACCAGGTGGGTTCGAATCCAATCCACAATATACCAGAATCTCAATCCAAATGAAAAAAGGCTATAGAAAAACCATCTACAGACAGGAATGTGGGAAAAGCTAAACTGGATGTGCCTCAAGGTGTAGAGTGGCTAGGGGGTGATGGACTGTACATGATTGGTCAACTCTAGTCCAAAACCAAATGCATTGGGAAAACAACTCTGACACATGGTAGGAGGAGGGTCCACACCATCTTCACCTCATGTTGAGTAGAATAGAATTATATACTTTCAAACCAAACTACAAAACAAGACACATGTACACAAATCCACAACCACCTATATATCCAGGAACCCAACATTCAAGTGACAGTATGAAGGGATATACCAATGTGGCAGGTCACATCAAATCAAACTCAATCGCATAGTGACCTTACTGCAAACATCACCCTCAGGTAGTGAAAACTCTGATATGGAGCACAACAGGTAGGCAATGTAACAATGACGAGTGCATGTGGGACAAAGAGGTCTAATCAGGTCAGATGGAAATAAAGGTGGGAAGTGGTCAGTCATGAACTTGGTAAGAAGGAATAATATCTCTCGCAAGCTGCCAAAGTTTTTGGTAGGAAAAACTGATCTGGATAAAGGAGTAAACATTGATGGGAAAGTCAGACTGATGACACCCACAGGCTAAAAGAAGCAGGAAATAAGTCTTAAGGGATAGATCAAACAAGGAGCATGAGAACAAAGGCTCAAATGGAGGGAGTATATGATAGTGAAGAACAAGATTGACATTCTAATGAAGAGGTTTATGTATCTGGAAGGAACACAATAAAAGGGAGATGGTAGAAGAGGAAAACACCAAATGGTGCCGAGAAAAATGGAAGATGTTGCATACGGCAGCTAAATAACCAGATATCGAAGAGACAGAGGCCCAATGATTGAACAGCCAGGTGAGAAAAACTGTAATATAAGGAACCAACTGAGGAAAAGGTTCCATTTATCTTGATAAACCTCAAGAGAGAAAAGCTAAATGGTATGAGCTGAAAGGGAGGCAATATGCCTAGAAAATCCAGAACACCTTGCCAGAGACCTGGTAAATGTCAGGCATGAAGTTGGAGGGTGTGAAGGGTGGGAGGACTGCTTTTGTCAAGTAGTAGATGTGTGTGTTGAGAAGACTCCCATTTGGAATGAGCTAACAGGAGGCAGTTGTCTATGTAGTGTTGTAAGTGCAACCCCCGAGGATGCAGAAATTGGGCAAAGGCTATGACCACCCAACAAAATACATATGGTGCCAAATCAAGCCAAAAGGTAAGGTGCAAAATTGATATACAACCCCATAATGGACAAACTGAAGATAGTATCTGGACTGATGAGAAATGGGAATATGGAGATAAGAATTCAAGATGTCTACCTTGGTCATCCACAGTTCTGAAGAAAAAGCCCTCCTCAGGGTGAGAAAGGACACCATGGTAAAGTGGGCAAGATAAAAAAATTGGTTGCAGCAGAACAGATTAATCACAGGACATCATTCCCTGTTTTAGCGGGGATGAGAAAAAGCCTGGAAAAGGCTGGCTGACAGGATCAATAGCACTCTGTGATAGAAGAGTCTACACAGCTTTGGATAGACACAGACTGGTATTAGGATCCTGAGGTAATTGGAAGAATATTGATACAGAAAACAACAGGAGCAGGGAAAGGAAATGGATGCAGAGTCCTTCTGACAAAACCTTGATCTCCCAAAGATCAATAGTGAATTCCCGCCACAGGGGAACAAAATTGACCAAATGCACCCCCACTGGATCATAAACCACCTGATAGTCACCAGAACTGCTGGCAATTATGAATCCGAAATTGAGAAACATAACTAAGTGTTGGACCTCTAGTGATAGGAACTGATAAAGGACAGGAGGGTGCAGGATGACAAATGGTTATAGGAGGGGGCTTGGGATCAAAATGAGACAAACAAGCAACTACAGATAAATGGATAGAATATTGTCTCACAAATTTCACATGTTATTTCAAAGGCTCAGGGATACCTCCCAAAACAGACCAATGGAGAAAAGGAGCCATCCATAAGTCATGAAGATAAGTGGAAGGAATACGGTCCTGTAACAAGTGACTGTCCCTCCCATTAAGATACCAAGAGCATCAAAACTATGTGTGAAGGGATAAGGCTGACGATGACAACTGCTCCAATGTGGAAGTAATGAGGAAAAGGATATCCCCCAAACCCCCTCAGATGATCAGTGGAGTGCCTCAGAAAGGAGGTATATGGTGGACAGGTACCACAGGAGAGCTTTAAGGGTAAGATGAAGACAGGAAAATTGGGCATAGGAGAAATGGATAGGATTGTCATGGTCAGCCCCCCACCCCAACACTAGCAAAAGTGACTCCAACTGCTGGGAGTCGAGAAATTGTTGATCAGCCTGATGATAAGCCAAAGCATAATGATCAGAAGCCTGTGGAGGGACAAGGCATGCTAGCACCAGCTCTTAATTGAGAAACAAAATGCTCAATATGAACCTTGATGTTAGGAAAAGAAAGGAAAAACAAGGTACTCTGCGGATGGAGTGTCAGGATAAAAGAAAGGGACAGGATCATATTAAATTGGTGAAATCAATAAAATGGAATACACCTGTGAAATCATATCCAAAAGGCTGAGTTAGGCTTGGCAGATTCCACAGAAGAAGCATGGAAAGGCATAGCATAATTAGGTTGAGGAAAAAGGCTATCAAAATTCCACTCATCATGAACAGGCTAGTACGGTTCAGGAGGAACCTGAACACTGTCGGGAGAAGAAGGTCAACTTATATAACGATTGATAGCCAAAAATCCTCAGTCGAGACCCCCCCCCACCCCACCTCCCTGACCTGAAGCCTGTGTAATGGCACTTGAAGTAGTGGTTAGAATATCAGAAGTTGTAACATAAACTTCAGAATTCATCTTATACTGTGAAGAATTCGAAAAGGAGAAAAAAATCGATAAACAAAGGTAAGTTATCCTGGCAAAATAGTACAGAAAACCAACTGTAGCAAAAGAATAATTAAGTTAAATGACTACTTTGCACAAAAGAATAAATTAACATGTGAAGAGAGCACTAGATCAAATAGAGAGACTCACGTGTCAAAAGGGTGTGTCACACTCCTATTGGTGGAGGGTTGTTGCATGATGATTTACAAGCAAAATATAGTGAACCACGTTGATCGTGTGATATGTGGAAGTTCAAGGATTGTGGCATACTAAAGTAAAAAGTTTTGTATATAGAGGGCAGCACTGAACGAGAATAACTTCATGTGAGCGGAAGTAAGGTACTGTATGGGAAAATTACATCATTTTATTTTTACAAATGGATAAAAATTACTGTTTTCAAGTAGCCAATTTACCTTCAAATAAACAGTTTTTAAATGTTACTGAAATTATCAAAAACAGTTTTTAATTTGAAAATTATGGATGAGTAAAACTATTGCAATTGGTGAGCTCTATACTAAAATTTTATTACTAAAGAAGGAGATAGTGTTATTAAAAGAAGCGTAGAAAATTCCCAGTAAGCTCTTTGGCTTAGTTTCTCCAATTTTTACATGGGCAAAATGATGACATCGAGCTTTGAAAAATTCTGTGTGACCTCTTCCCTAAATTACCACCAAAATAAAATCATATCTGAAATATTGAGATTTTAAGTTTTCATTTAATGCAAGCCTAATTAACATTTTTTTTGGATAAAGTAATAAAAAAATCGTAATTGCAGGCCCATACACAGAATGTTTGAAAGTTGAAAGGGGGTTTTAATTTTTGAGAACAAAAGCCAACACATATTATGTAATGGAAGCACAATTAGCATGCAAAGCATGTGAATGCTATGGGGTTTGGGAACATGGGACTATTTCAAGCCAAAAAATGCTAATGCTTCATTTCAAGAAAGTAAACTATGTAGAAAATGTTAGATACCATAAACAGCTGTGCTATGACTATATAAGCATAATTTTTTGACATCACAGAAATAGATGGTTCAGTCGAACCCCCTCCCCCTGTTTGTCATAATTTTGTATTTTTGCTTCCCTATTGTGATTATTACAAAGGTAGTAAAAACTGTTAAATTACACACCAGGACAGATACAACTTGTCAGTGAACAGAACAAAGAAAAAAATCTATAAACTTTGCAGCATTGCATATTTTTAGCTCAAGTAGTTTGAAAACAGTGAATTTTGGAAGTTTATGATATCAGTAATGGTTGAAGACAGCTTGAATTGGTAATGAAGAAAAACTTATATTAAGTTTTCATTACCCATTCAAACCATCTCCATACATTATTAGTCTCAAAGTGGGTTCCTCGTCATCGAATTTATGTTATCAAATATTGTAAAATTCAACTATCTACATATTTTGT